TGATTTTTTTTAACAGTGTCTTTTTTACTGTGTTTCTCAATTAGCCTTTCTATGTAATTATTTTTTTAGTTTTTTTACCAACTAAATTTTGGGTATTTAGTATATACTATAGATTTATTTTTAGAAACCTAATAAAAAAATTAGAAAGAATTATAATGAGATTTCAAGAAAGAAACATAATTATAAAAAAAAATTCAAACAAGTTAGAAGCTGAACAATTGTTATTAGGACTTTTCAGTAATTATTATTTTTTTAAAAGTTTGTTGCAATTCTCCTAAAAGATTTCACCATAAAAATAAGACTCAAATTGCATTGGTCCAAAATTTTAATGGTTAAGAAAACAGAAAAAAATTGGACAGGATGGGAGAATTAGGAGTTTTTTTTTGTTTTAATCCAAAATGCTATATAAACATAAAATTATACACTAAAATGCTGTATTTTTAAAAGTATTATCAATATGTAACACGTAAAAATCATTTTTTAAAAACAACTTTCAAATTATACAAGTCATTTTCATAAAAATGATTTATATGTTAACTGATAAATCGTTCTTAACATAAATGATTTTAGAAATCATTCTAGTGAATGATTTTACTTTTTGATTTTAAAAAAATTCAAAAAGTGAAATTGTTCACGCCAATAATGTTTACTTTTTTTTTATTCATTTGTGTGCGAGAATCTATGCCACTTACTATGCATGCGAGAATCTCCCATTCTCGTCCTATGAGGCTATAGCAACCTAGATGATTTTATATATTACATGTCCTCTCTCTTCTTCTTCTTCTCACTTGTTTCATTTTCATTGTTGTCTTGTTCTATTATTTTTTTGACTTTTGCTTTCAAACACTTGACAAGCTCTTTTACTGCTGCTGTGAGGTTATTGTTTCTCTTCTATTTTTCTTTTAAAAAATTTGCAGCTGTGATATAGAATTTGATTTTTTCATCCATACTACTCTTAATGAGTTAATATTTATTATTTAATTTTCAGGAGGTGAGTGGTGGGTTCAAATGAGTGGTGGGTTCAACAATTAAAATATTTGTACTCTTTCTAAGCTAGGTGCCTTTTATTTTAACAGCAAAACTATCATCTCTTATCTTATTTTAAGATGTTAAAATTTTGATATAAACTCCAATCTTTTTTTAGTATATGATTATTATTTTCTTCTTATGAAAGTATACTTCTCCAGAAGTTTAAATTTAGTAAGATAAAAATAAAAATAATTATATATACATCTTAAATATCAAATCTGTGGTATATAAATTGGTAGAGATTCTTACACACAAATGAATTGGCAAAGATTCTCACATAGGATATGAATAGGAAAAAAATGAAATCGTTCTTAGCATAAATAATTTCACTTTTTGATTTAAAATAAATCAAAAAATGAAATTGTTTACGTCAAGAACAATTTTTAAAATCGTTCATGTCAAAAATAATTTCACTTTTTATCAGTTAACATATAAATCGTTCTTGTGAAAAATAACTTATGTATGATTTGAAAGTCGTTCTTATCAAAAACAATTTTAAGTATATCATATTGATAAATATTTTAAAAATACAGTATTTTAATACATAATTTTACTGTTTATAGTATTTCGGTCAAAAAAACCGGATAAGGATACTATGGGAGGATCAAGACAGTATGGGGACGGGATGGAAGGAAAACGAAAATAACCCTTACTGGCTGATCGGTGGTTTCTGATTTATTATTTGCAGGGGCTATGGCTTGGGTGGGTCGTAGCCTCGTCTTGATAAGATTAATTAGGGCTGTGCAAAAACCCGGTGGTCCAGTATGGTCCGGTCCAACCCGAACAAACCCGGTCCAGTCTAGTCCAAAAAAAATTGACCCGAAACAAGACTGGACCAGACTGGACCGGACTGGTCTCATCGGGCTAGACTGGACTAGGGACTGACCCCTCAGACCAGTTGGTCCAGTCCAGTCTAGCCCGATTTTTTTAAATTATTATTTATTAATTTTAATTGATTTAATTTTTCTATATAAATTTTTATCTATTCAAATAATTAAGATTTATCTATTAACTTTCAAAGTAATGAGCATGCATATATATTTTCTACAATTTAAGATCTATATTGATGAGAATTAATTAATAAAACATGACTTCATTGGGAAATTGAAAAGGAATGATCAAATTTGATAAATTTTGAATTAAAATATGTGCAAAATTTTATATAGTAAGTTACAATCTTGCCTCTTATTGAAGAAATTTTTTTTAAAAAAAAAATTAAAATTAGCTCTGGACTGCCTGGACTGGTCTAGGCAGTCCAGAGGACCAAGTCCAGTCCAACCCGACCTCGGGGTTGGCACTGGACCGGACCAGACCTCGGGTTGTTTTTTTCAGCCCGAGGTCTTTACTGGACCAGACTTCGGGTTGATAACAAACCCGGTCCAGTCTAGTCCATGCACACCCCTAAGATTAATGCAAATATGCCTCTCTGTTTTTTTTTTTGGTAACATGCCTCTTTTTGTTCAATACGCATAAATGCAAGTATGCTAGTGGTTGAAGAAAATTTAAAAAGTATATGATAGGATATGAAAAGAAATAACTATGATTTATTATATTTTTAAAATATTTAAATTATTTAGGATATTTAGATTATTTAGATTTTTAGGATTCATTTAAATTTCTCTGTATTTTATCATTTTATTATTAGGATTAGTTATTGTTATTATTATTTTCAGTTTTGTTATTAGTTTAGTATAAGTAACTTTAGATTTCTTATTAGACGAAAAACTTAATTATTTATGATATTGCAATTATCGTTTTCTCTCGGCTGGTTTCCTCTTCTATATATGTTTTCTGTTTTCGCTTCTCTGATCTTTCTCATCTCTTCTATTTCTCATTTCCTCTTCCTGTTTTACATTATTGTAGCGCCAAAGACCAAACATGAATCAAAGAAAACTTGGGAGATAGAAGCAAAACAACTTATCACTTAATTTAGGAAAAGTTGTTAATGTCATTACCATGCTGCTTTTTGGTCAACTGCTAAAATGAGAACTTATAAACACACATGTTGCTTAAATCTCTAATCCTTATGGTAATAATCAAATATCAAGCTTACTTTTCTATGACTGATAATCACATATCGGGTACAGCACCAAAGTTTTTTTTTTTTTAATAATTAGTGATTTCTATGACTACAAATTCATACCATCAAAATTCTTTGCAAATTGCAAAACAAAGATGTAACTTTCTCAAGTATTTTTCAATATGTTCGCTTTATCATATACTCTTCTAGTTCTTAATATAGGACTTAATTCTTGAGTTGGTTTTGGTCCTAAATATAAGACCCATTTTTTATATTTATCAATTTTCTCTAAATTACCCCTATGGATATCCCTCAACTATAATCAAGTAGGAGAGGAAGATAGGGTATTAAGAAAGATGATTATGATATTTTAGAAAAAACATGTCACATTTCTTATAATTAACTAACTTGCCTAACTTTCTTAATCTAAGCAAATTAGTTAAATGGGTCTTATATTAAGGATCTGAGGAGTATATTGTACATAATAAATTAGAGACTTAAGATCTATTTTGGGGCTTAGCCCCTTGCAAAATTCATCAAATTGAACAATACTCATCTGCGTATTACATTGATTCCTAGTATTGCGTATAACTTTTAATTATAATACTAGGAAATATATGAAAATTATTAAACCGTAAACTGTGATATTTTGATTAGAATGATGCAAATTTAAAAGTGTCAAACGTCAAAATTTAAAGCCATGGTTGTACTCCCTCTAATCCACATTATAAGTAGTTTTCTAAAAAGTACGTTTGGTTTATTTTATAAGACGTTTTGATAGTATCAATGAGCATTATATGTATAAATAGATATATATTCATATTTGCTTATATATAATAAGGATAGTGAGAAAAATAGAAATTAATCTAACATTGAAATTTGGTGTGGTTAATGAGAGAAATAGTATAGGGAATCATTTAAATTTTTATGACAAATTTAATTTTTTTAATTATTTTTATTAGTATGTGTGAATTAGATAGAAAAGTCTTACTTCTTCTCAATTATTATATAAGACGTTAGTTAAGTTTTCTCACAAATTAAGGAATGTTAGTTTAGTTATCAAATATGTTTCAAATTGGTAAAAGTTAATATTTTATCCTTATTCAGAAATGTGATTGAAAATTTCTTTTTTCTCTGTCTCCCCTTCTTGTAACAAAGGATAAAAATAAAAACTATCATTAATTATCCGGTCAACTTCTTATATTTTAGGTCAAAATCAAATTTTTTCTAAAACAGTCACTATATTTTCAACCGAAGGGAGTAACCTGTAAGGATAGTTGTTGAAAAATGCCATCACATTGGTGCAGTTTTTAATTGCAAGTTGGATCTAAGTAGATCAACGTGGAGAGAGCAAGGTCTTTATATTTAAGATGAAATAGAAGTTTAAATCTGATCTCTGCCGTATAATTATGACTGGGGGATTAATTATCATTCATCTCTCAATACATACTTTCCCAATTCTTGAATTATACTTCTCTCATTTTATTTATAAGGTATTTTCAGCATGTTTCATACATATTAAGAAAAATCTTAAACTATATTAACTCTTCATTAAAATATAATAACTTTTTAACTTATTCTTATTTAATATATACACATTTTTTTAAAAAAATCTACACTGTGATAAGTGAAGAATAAAATAGTACGTCCATACTAAAAATTTAATAATGTGATTTATGAATAGGACTAAAAAAACCCTTTTTCTCTAACTTATAATTATAAATAAGATTAGAGGAATATATTTCCAGCATATGCCAACAAAATGTTTTAATTCCAATGCACAATAATATGAAATGAATATCTATTTTTCTACCCACAATCAATAATTAGAAGAATTAGTAAATAACTATTATACATCGATCGGATTAAAAATATCATTGTATAAAGGGGGCTTCAAACAATACGAACTCTTGGACAAATTCCAGAACCCAAATAGAAAAAGCGTGGAACGGCCTGCTTAACAAGCCACTGGCTGTTACTCAATGCTTTTCTTTTCTCTTTCCTTTTTGGCATATTGGAAAATTATTACAATCAACACTGAAAAGTACTGTTTCTTTTGATTTTTTTTTTTTTAATAAAATGACAATTTAAAGTACAAAGATGCATCTACAAAGGCACTAAATTACTAACTGTAAAGGCTGAAATCTTGAGCGCTGAGGAATCAGTGATATTCTGCTTAAAGAATCCGAATGGAAGGCTATGCATCGGAGGGATAGTGCACCCTAAGTTTCTTGAGCAACCATGTGAGGCGAAGAAATTATACCATTATGCAAGGCCCTATTTCTTTCCATCCAGATAAAATTAAGTAGGGCAGTAGTACCATGTAGAAAATGGAAATTTTCATCCTCATGGAACTGCCTGCTTAAAATGTACTGTTCAAAATAGAAAACACTTGGAAAAAAATAACTTCTAATTTGTATGGGCTTAAGAGCTGTCTTCAAGAAATGGGTAGTCAGTATAACCAATAACAGGATCAGAAGTGTAAAACGTCTCTCTGTGGTACTTGTTGAGAGGAGCACCGAGCTCAAATCTCTTTGGCAAATCTGGGTTCGACAAGAACCACCGACCATAGGCAACAAGGTCTGCTCTGTTCTCTGCCACTGCACTGTTGCCATCTTCACGATCATAGCCTCCAGCAACAATGAAAGTGCCATTGAATGCCTTTCTCATTGGTGCAAGACTGTGAGGGCACTCAGCTTTTTCCCAAACAGTCTTCATTCTTGGTTCCACCATGTGACAGTACAGAATATTATATCTATTCAAGGAATTCGCCATGTATAGGCCAAGTTCTTCAGGACCGGAATCCCCACATTCATTATAATTTGCAAAAGGTGATAATCTAATTCCCACTCGCTCTGCCCCTATCTCATCGGCAACGGCTTTAACAACTTCCAAAGGAAAGCGGCACCGATTCTCTAGCGATCCACCATATTCATCCATTCGATCATTGACCTGATCTTTCATAAATTGGTCAAGAAGGAAACCATGGGCACCATGAATCTCAACCCCATCAAAACCTGCAATTGCAAATTGCATTCAGTTATGCATATAAAGATTGAAATATAGTAACAGTACCCCCATAAGTGCGTCACATCATTTGCAAACAATGAAAAAGGTGCCACTAATATTACTTAGGTCCCTCTAAATTTGTGAAGATTTCTGTTTGGTTCCAAAGTTAATGCTGCCAAGTAATAATATTTAAGCAAGCCTACGGTTAGATTTGACATTAATTCTTGAATGATGAGATAGTGGGGAAAAATTGAATCATGTTAAGAAAACTTGATGATGATCATTTTGCTCATATAGATAATTAGTTTGATTTATTACAAAATTTTACAGTTACTGAAGATACCAGCTTGCACAGCATTGCTTGCAGCGAGTCTGAAGTCATTGATGACTTGAGGAATTTCATCAGTCCTTAACCTCCTGGGGGGGTCATGAACTGTGACGCTAATACCATTACTTTGAATTTGTGGCGACAATCCCTTGTCTGTACTAGATATTGGGGCTTGCCCATTTGGCTGAAAACCTGTTCAAAATGAAGTAGGATGGGTGTACATTATATATATACATCAGATTTAATTGGTTCTGATGGAATTTGAGAGAGATAAGATACACTCTGGTAGTAGATACCTGAATTTGAAACCCTTCCAGTGTGCCAAATCTGACAGAAAAATATTCCACCTTTGGCATGAACAGCATCCACAATGGGCTTCCATGCTTCTATTTGCTCTTTTGTCCATATGCCTGGTGTATTGGCATAACTTTACGTTGAACAACAAGAAAACAACCAAAAAATAAATAAATAAAATAGAAACCATCAGTGTGGAGTATCCTAACGAATTGGGATAAAATTAACACAATGGCATAGTGTACAAATTACCCTATAGCAGTGGGAGAAATGCAAGTAGCTTCAGATATCAATAAACCCCCCTTGGTAGTTCGTTGAGAGTAATATAAGATAGCATGAGGCTGAGGAACATAGTTGTAAGATCTCTGTCTGGCCAGCGGAGCCAAAACAACTCTGCATACATAGCAAAAGTGAACCAATTCTGAGTAAAGAAATCACAATATAATCAACTGATGCTTAAAGTAATAATACTACATGGCCGGCAAGAAATTTTCCCCATTCTAGTGCACTAGCCGTAGATATAAGTGACTTTTCATAGCACAAAAGTGAAGAGGGTGTAAGGGCCCAAGAAATCAAAATAAGAAAGACAACTTGTCACCAAACAATGTTTTGATCAAAATAACTATCCTTAGTTTTTTTTTTCTTTTTTTTCTTTTCAAGAAGTTATCGAACGAATTCAAAATTTGTGATTTCCAAGCATGATGTACACCATGATCTATAACCATGCTGGCATGCTCAACTGGGATTTGTTACAAACACCTTATCCTCATCAATTACACTGAAGAAAAATGCAAAACAAACGAAAAAGCAATTGGATAAATTCATCAAGAGTATCAATACCTGTGGGATAGATTGAAGTTTCCCAACTTGTGAGGCGTAAGAAGAGGAACCATGGGAGCCTCGGAAGCCATTCTTGCTCAAGACAAGAATCGACTTTGATATAAATAGAACTGAAACTGAGATGAAAAGATCGAATTGACGACGGCTCTCCATCAGCCGTGGAATTAGTGGGATGATGATGTGAGGGATTGCGTTCGCAGTCGCAGACGGCAGATGAATACAGTGAATCGACGGCGATCTCCATGGAAAGTCCAAGCCTGACATGATCCATGGTCATGTCATTTGAATCTCAGAGAATTACAATCAAATTCAAAAAAGATTTAATTATCTTAAAATATTCACTTTGCGAATAATAATCTATTCACAAAGTGATAAAAACGACAACCTTGATCACTTATCTACCTTTTGATAATTAAATTTCTTTGTTCGGTCGGAGAGACAACGGAGACTCAGCTATTTTGAGTTATAACGTACAAGCTGCGTGGCGCCAGGAGAAACCGTCCTATTATAATTTCACAAAGAAAAGTTATACATTTCATATTTGTTTTACATTAAATTTCATAATTAATATTAAAATAGATATATGTACCAATTATATAAGTAGATGTAAAAAAAATTTATTATGTTGCTATTAATAAGTAATTAATATGTTTAATGAGAAAATTTTAATTAAATCTAACTAAAATATTAAAATCTAACTAAATTTGATCTATTTGGATGAGAAGAAAAGTCAACAAGGAAAAAAATAAAAAAGAAGAGAAAATATTGTTACCGCTCCGCTTTGAATGACTAAATAAATATATATATATAAATGACCAAAATATTTTTTATGTAAAAATATCATTTTTAAAATTAAATTAAATACCATAATAAAAAACTAATTTAAACTTAAATTATTTGATAAGAATATAGTTTCATGTTATTATATTTTAAAACAACATTTGTTTAGAGAAAAATGTTACTTTTCAAGGTAAAAAAATAAATAAAAAGAGGATATTTTTTTAAAATCAGTTTTTTTTTTCAAGGTCTCTAAAATTAGATATAATAGAAGAGAATAAATAAATTATATATTATTTAGTATTATTAATAAATGTTAAAAATATAATATAAAAATGAGACGTGGAGAATATGAAGGGAAAAATGAGTTTTCTCCTCATTTTTTTCATTAAGTGGAGAGAAAAATTGGAGAGAAAATGAGACTCTCTATTTTTTATCTTAGTATTTTTTTAGTTTTTTCCCCATCCAAACGACATCAAAATTTTTTTTAATCTCGTTAAAAGACCAAAACGCTCCTATAAAAGAAAAATTGAACGTAAATGTATGCATGATTTCAGTTTTGATGATTTCAGTAAGATTTAATTAAATTTAGTTGTGAATTTTTTTAAGTAATTAAATGCATGACATACGTCATGTATAGAAATAAATTCTCATGCATCACATGCATAGCAGATATAAGGCTAGTTGGGAATAGATGGTAATTAACAAGTAGTTTTTAAAAATTTGGTGCAACTTAACTTTTTTTAATATGCGATTCGTCCTTTTATATGTAAATTAGTTCTAATGTTTTATACAAACCATCTTCAATTTATATTGTTTAACTTTATTTATATGCAATTTATCTTTTTGATATAATCTATCATTCTAAGGATCATTTGTCAATTAATTTTTTTAATGAAAAATTTATCCTCAATATTTCCCCCTCACACACACACACATATATATTTGAAAAACAACAAAACAATCATTAATTAAAAAGAAAGTTTACAAAGTACAACAAGAAAGCAAACCTATATTAAGAATTAAGCATAAGGAAACAGGATTTTGAAATAACATCTATCTGGAAAAAAAAAAATTGAAACTACGAATTGAAGTAAGTATTTCCTGCCAGGTAATATATATACATATATATATATATATATATGTTGATGATCACAACGTAAGCGCAAAGATAAGAAAATGTAGGTAACCATCTTGTAAATTACTTCTGCGATAATGAAAGTCAATCCGTTGATTGAAATTTGGAGCACAAGTAACCACGTCGTCAAAATGGCGAAGGGTTCTGTATCTGAAGCGAACCATGAGAGCGATTTCACTCCCATGGGATGGGAATGAGGGATGTGTGGGATCCCAAAACACTTTTTTTAAAAAATTAAATATAAATTGAAACAAATTTTTTTCTCACAGTATCATGTATTTATCTCAAACTACATAAAATTATTTTAAAAAAACTAATTCAAAGAATCAGCATACGCTTTATTTTTAACTAATTTCTTGTCTTAATTTGAAAACACAAACAAATAAACAAACTAAAATTAGAAGAAAAATCCCAATTAAATCATGCTGAAACAACTAAAATTAAATTCAGAATCATACTTACCTTTGATTTTTAAAAAAAAAAAATTATAGATGGGCATTTTGATTTTTTAAACAACATTCATTCAGAAATTTATAATCATGCTTTTTGACTTGATTAGTAGAAATTTGTTAAAAGTGTATACATAAACTTATATTTTAGTATTTCATCTAAATTCAATTAGATTTTTTCCGTTTTTAATTAAGTAATGAATGTCTTAGAAAAAAACTGCTGAAAAATCCTCCTCCTCCGTAGTAAAATTTCACAAAAATTCTTTTAAAATACCCGAAATTTACCGAAGTCGAAAGGGTAACATCAATTTGCATAATCTCCCATCTCCGTTATTTTTCACTTGAGGATTGCAGGCAAGGCAACTAATGAGTTTATTGATTTAATTAAAATGATGAATTTTTATTTTACATATATAAGTCAATATTAACAAATATCTTCCCCTGGCATCTGGAAAGTATTTTTATGTGTCTATCTCACAAGGTAAATTAATGAGCATTTACCTTTATTCCTTGCATGTCAACTTTATTTTTAAACTTGCTTGTGTGTGTGTTTATTATTATTATTTTTTTAATTTCTTCACCTGGTATCCTGGCCAATCCTTTAGGGACAGACGACCCATTTGGATCTATCCAATTACAAACGAGACTAATCCGTATCGGGAGTTCAAGAACCCAAATGGCCGGCTACCCTCCCACCTGTACTATTGCGTGCCCAAAAGATCAAATCCGTGACTTTTGATTAAGCTGAAACAACCCCCTAACCAATTGATCCAAGCACTCGGTGGTGTGTGTTTATTGGATAGTCGTTTGGCCATCTATGATTTTTGCTCTAGTTTGGAAAATGGGAACAAATATTAGAGGTAATTTCTGATACGTTAAACCAGTTCTTTGATTGTTATGTCTTTACCCTCTTCTATATGACCTTGCTTTTTAGCCACTATTTTTGTTTTCTTATTTTGAAACTCTTTTTTAATTTGATGGGATGATTTCCTTGAAATTCCCTATATAAAAGGCACCAGCTAGCTAGGATTAGAAAACTGTCTTTGTCTTTTTTCTTTTTATTTTACCATCGACTAAATAATGGTCTTTGACTAAAAAAGTGTTTGGATAGAAGTTAAACTATAGTTTTAAAAGTGTTTTTTATAGTATACGAAGTAAATATGTAGAGAAATTTAGTTCATTTTATAGAAAAGTACTTTTTAAAAGTATTTTTTTGTGTTTCCAAACACTCTTTAAATAAAAGTTCAGGATTTTATCTTATGTCTTATTTTTCTTTCTTGCTTTTGCCTTTTGCCTTTTTCTAAATATATATTGTTCTGTATATGCTTTATTGACTGACTGGTTCGTGGCTTGTAATTCATTATTTGTAGAGTTTCTGACTTGGATGGATTGTTGGCTAGTCTTGGTGAGATCAGTTAGGTATATTGGAATTTGGAGACTAATTGGATGAAACCAAATCATAGTTTGTGAAGAATAGATTTTATAAAAAAGTGATTATGAGAAGTGAAAATATTTGGATAGTTTTTATCAGAAGTACTTTTTATATGTATAAATTATTAAAAAAACATAAGTTAATATGATAATTACATAAAATATAGATTGTATGATATATTTTAATTTGAAGGAATAAAATTGTTAATAATATATTTTTTACCAACATAATTAATAATACATAAGATAAGGTAATTGATAAATAATTAATATGTGTATATTTATTTATAAGATATAAGATTAAATATGTTTATAAAAAATTAATTAAGGGGTGTTAAAGTCATATTATTGTTGAGATTTACTCTAATAGACACAATCATACTCTCCAATTTGAGCCAGAAGCAGAATGGATTCACTTCTCCCGAAACCATGGTTTTGACCCAAACCATGGTTTCAAATAATTTGTGCCTGTTTTGGTTGTTTATTTCCCAAACCATAGTTTGGGTCTCCAAACCATGATTTGTCCTGCTATCCAAACAGGGCCTAAAGAAAGCTTAAAGTTGCAGCTGAGCAAATAGGTACTGCTTGAAACTTTATGGTCAGGAGATAAAAGCAAGGTGAACCAAGACAACAATAAGCAGAGAGGGATTCAAAATATCCCATAAAAATATTATTATAATACTAGCATTAAATAAAAATTATCTATAGATGCGTTTGAACATTTAAAAATTTAACTTGAATAGTTTAGAACTGCAATATATAAATAAATAAGTAAATTCGAAATATTAAAATTTGATTTAAATACTTCATAACTATAAGTTTTTACTATAATATTTGTGCGTGTGCTCTTTTTTTTTTTTTTGTACCTTTTATCCTTTGTAATCCTAAACCTAGAATACTCCAAGGTTCAAACTATAAACTAAATTTTGTTGGAGGGGTTTAGTTTTTATTTTTATAAGATAATATTCACTTTTATCTAAACATTTAATGAGTTTATATATTCTCTTTCTTTTTTGGGGAAATTGCAAATAAAGACCCCCCAATATATAAAATGGCAATCAGGGACCCTGAAATTGAAAAATTGCTCACAAGGACCCGGTCCCAATTTGCAATTATGAAATCATGGCCAAATTACCAAAATACCCCTCTTTAATTTTTTTTCAACAAAAAAAACCATTGCCTCGCCGGAATCCGGCTGCCGGCGCCGGAGTTCCGGCCACCGGAGCTCCGATGCCGGCCGCCGGATTCCGGCCATTGCCGGCGGCCTTCCTTTATTTTTTTTTGAAACTGTTTTTTTTTTAAAATTGGGGGGAAGTGAGGTTGGGGGGATTTGATCCCCCAACCTCATGCTTCCCAAAATTAGGAATGACCATTGAGCCAACAAATTTTTGCTAACATTATAATACAAAAAAAATATAAGTTAACTCATTTACTCTTGTTCCAGGTGATAACAAGAATACATTTGAAAATAACAAGTTCTGATTATAAAATGACAAGTCTGGGATTAAAATTTAACAACACGTTTTTTTTTATAACAACACACTCTGTTGCAGTTGATAACAACAATACATTTGAAAATAACAAGTTCTGATTATAAAATAACAAGTCTGGGGTTAAAATTTAACAACACATTTTTTTTATAACAACACACTCTTTTTCAGGTGATAACAACAATACATTTGGAAATAACAGGTTCTGATTATAAAATAACAAGTCTGGAATTAAAATTTAACAGCACTTTTTTTTTTTTATAACAACACACTCTTTTCAGGTGATAACAACAATACATTTGGAAATAACAGGTTCTGATTATAAAATAACAAGTCTGGAATTAAAATTTAACAGCACCTTTTTTTAATATAACAACACATTTTATTCCAAGTGATAACAACAATACATTTGAAAATAACAAGTTCTGATTATAAAATAAGAAATCTAAAATTAAATTTAACAACACATTTTTTTATAACAATTAATTATTTTATACTTTTGAAAAATAAATTATTTATAACTTATAAAAAGTATTTTAAATCTATTTAATTTGCTAAAAAAATAATTTTTATCTCCAATTTATAATCAAAACTTGAAGTGTAATCTATTATAGATTAAAAATACTTTTTTATTGTTCAAAATTTTTTCTTTAAATATAAAAACTATATAGATTAAAATACTTTTTATAAGTTATAAATAATTTATTTTTTAAAAGTATAAAATAATTAATTGTTATAAAAAATGTGTTGTTAAATTTTAATTTTAGATTTCTTATTTTATCAGAACTTGTTATTTTCAAATGTATTGTTATTATCACTTGGAATAAAATGTGTTGTTATATAAAAAAAAGGTGCTGTTAAATTTTAATTCCAGACTTGTTATTTTATAATTAGAACCTGTTATTTCCAAATGTATTGTTGTTATCACCTGAAAAAGAGTGTGTTGTTATAAAAAAAAAGTGTTGTTAAATTTTAATCCCAGACTTGTTATTTTATAATCAGAACTTGTTATTTTCAAATGTATTGTTGTTATCACCTGCAACAGACTGTGTTGTTAAATTTTAATCCCAGACTTGTTATTTTATAATCAGAACTTGTTATTTCCAAATGTATTGTTGTTATCACCTGAAATAGAGTGTGTTGTTATAAAAAAAACGTGTTGTTAAATTTTAATTCCAGACTTGTCATTTTATAATCAGAACTTGTTATTTTCAAATGTATTTTTGTTATCATCTGGAACAAGAGTAAATGAGTTAACTTATATTTTTTTTGTATTATAATGTTAGCAAAAATTTGTTGGCTCAATGGTCATTCCTAATTTTGGGAAGCATGAGGTTGGGGGATCAAATCCCCCCAACCTCACTTCCCCCCAATTTTAAAAAAAAAAAAACAGTTTCAAAAAAAAATAAAGGAAGGCCGCCGGCAATGGCCGGAATCCGGCGGCCGGCATCGGAGCTCCGGCGGCCGGCGGCCGAGGCAGCAGAGCTCCGGTGGCCGGAACTCCGGCGCCGGCGGCCAGATTCCGGCGAGGCAGTGGTTTTTTTTGTTGAAAAAAAATTAAAGAGGGGTATTTTGGTAATTTGGCCATGATTTCATAATTGCAAATTGGGACCGGGTCCTTGTGAGCAATTTTTCAATTTCAGGGTCCCTGATTGCCATTTTATATATTGGGGGGTCTTTATTTGCAATTTCCCCTTCTTTTTTTATTCATTTATTATATCTTTTATTTATTCTCTTAATTAATAAGGGCATATCTAAAAAAATATACCTTACATATTTATTATTTTAAACTGATTTTAACAAATTTTTTGATAAGTAATTTATCTTATATTTTGAACCGGAGGAGGATATTTAGTTGCAGTTCCTTAAATCTGATTTTTTTGCCTCGGGATCATATTGGTTTTGCTGTCTTTTCATCTGGGATCATAACACATGGACAAGCTAGCCAAAGGAGCGCTGAACATGGCTATATTGGACTACAAATCTATCCGGCAGACTCGGCCTCAAATATCCTGGAAAATATTCCAGGAGACTACTCTTTGCTTTTTAGCTCTTTCCCTGCTTTTCGTTTGTTTTCGTACCAAGAAGAAAAAAAAAAAAAACTTAACACATGGCCTTTCTCTTACATCACCTGAACCCAAAAGGGCAAATAGAAAGGCACAAACATCTAACCCTTGCCAAGTTGTGGAGTTATTATGCTTGGTGAAACTGAAATAATTAAGAACTCACTTCAAAAAATGGGTAGTCAGTATATCCAATAATAGGATTAGAAATGTAAAACGTTTCTCTGTGGTACTTGTTGAGAGGAGCATCAAGCTCAAACCTTTTTGGCAAATCTGGATTGGACAAAAACCACTGACCATAGGCTACAAGATCTGCCCTGTTCTCAGCCACTGCATTGTTGCCCTCTTTGCTGTCATAGCCTCCAGCAACAATAAATGTGACTTTGAAGGCTTTTCTCATTGGCACAAGACTATGAGGGCTCTCAACTTTTTCTCCAACAGTCTTCACCCTTGGCTCTACCATGTGATAGTACAAAATACCATATTTATTCAAGGAATTCACCATGTGCAAGCCAAGTTCTTTAGGATTGGAATCCCAACATTCTGCATAATGTGCAAAAGGTGACAATCTAATTCCAACTTGCTTTGCCCCTATCTCGTCACTAACAGCTTTAACAACTTCCAAAGGAAACCGACAACGGTTCTCTAATGATCCACCATATTCATTGGTTCGATCATTGACCTGATCTTTCATAAATTGGTCAATAAGAAAACCATGGGCACCATGAATTTCAACACCATCAAAACCTACAATTGTAAAAATACTGTCGTTTTAAACTTCTGCTTTCTATGACAACATCAAGCATATTAGATTAAATACACAGCCAGTGCCACCACTAGTATGTAACATCATTTTTAAAGAATAAAAAGTGCTTAATACTTTGGCTTATACACAAATCAGGTCCCTCTAAATTTGTATATATTTCAAGTTGGTACCTGTTACTTCAAAAGTAGGCAATACTATCCTTTGAATTTTAAAGTGATAAAATGTCTCCATTCTGCCACTTTGAAAAGTTGTCAGGTTTGACATTATATCTAGGATATAGATGAGAAAATGGGGTAAAATTGAATCATTTGAACAAATTGGAGAGCATCATTGTAAGTACAAACTTTTAATCTAGAGGGACAAAATTGAACCTTGAAGGAAACTAGAAAGAACAGGACTTTACGAAAGCCTCATAATTATAACCAAAACCAATGTATTAAAAAAAGAAACCATTAAATTACATCCTGTCAATCAAGGCAATGCTTATATAGATTATGGTTGTAAGTTAATTGATTTTTCACTACATTTTTAGTTAGTGAAGGTACCAGCTTCCATAGCATTCCTTGCAGCTAGCCTGAAGTCATTGACGATTTGAGGAATTTCATAAGCTCTTAGCCTCCTTGGTTGTGTATATTGTCCAACATCAATGCCATTACTTTCAACTTGTGGGGTCAGTCCTTTGTCTGTGCAAGATATTGGGGCTTGCCAATTTGGCTGAAAACCTGTGTAAAATAATGTAAGATGAGGACACACGAAACATATACAACAACTTCATTTTGTAGCAAAGAAATTTAGAAGAGTGAGTACAGCTGTTGCAACAGAATGGAGGTGAGACTACGTGCTGAATAGACAAGTATATCAACTCCAACTCAGAGGTTATAATCTGAACAGATGATAAAATTCAAGGATTTAAATGTTGCCACATATTAAATAAAAGATTATGATTAGAGAGCCTCCCATATTTTTCACCTATGGATATCACCCATGAGTCATTCAAAATGGTGGCAGAAAAGATGCACATACAACAATGCTTCTATGGAGACATGATGTTCAAGTGATTTTTACTTTTATTTATTGTTTCTCATTTTCTTTTTATTCATTTATTTTGCACAGCTAGAGGAGGATCAAATAGGTTTGCCAATATAAGAAAATGGGCCAGTCCATCCTTGGTGGATTAGACTCAAACCCATTTATTTTTAGGGTTTTGGTGCAAATTACAATACATCCGGGTTGGGAATTGTAGTTTTCACTTTCTGCATTTAAATTGCACAGAAGGGAGCAGGAACGGTTGCAATAATCGTATGTGAGTAAAGGTAGTTTTTCCTTTTTTCGTGGGAGGAGTTAAAAACAACTAAGAGAAAATTTTTGAAAACTGGTTTTTGCCTCTACTCCGCTTACTTCCTAGTTCTATCTCCCATTATGTATTTGCTGTGTAAGACTGAAGTTCTGAGTTCCTGACTATGACCGGACCTCTGCATGTGCCTATCTGAGATCATTCGACACTTCAGGTATGCCTGGAAACCATTATTGGCATCAGAGCATGGTTTTATTTCTTCTGCTGCCTTGTTCAATCTCTTTGTTTGTGGTTCTGTTTTCTTTTCTGTGCCTCACGGTTTGGCACTTTAGTCTATCTTAGGTGATTTTCTCTCAAATATTACACAAACCCCCTCTTTATATTTAGTATGATGATTGTCTATGGTGTATTTAGATGATTATGTGTTATTTTGAGTTTCTCATTGCTTCCATGACCGTCGGTTATTATAAATTTTTTGTCTCCAACTATTGTATGTTAGTAGTCTGTATGGGAGATGACTGAAAACAATCCAAAACATCCAAAAAACCATAAAAATGTAGGTTTGGAAGCATGAAACTCATAATCTGTATGGTTCTTTTTTGAATGGTTAAAGTTTTTGTTTCTGGGTGTCTGGAAAATGCAGTTTTTTAGGCTAGAAAAATTATCTCATTGTATAGAGCTCAGAAAAACAAAGAAAATGACACCAAGAACGCGAAGAACGGAAGTCGTATGGAGGAGATAAGGGGGGGAGAGATATGGGGGAGAGAAGGTTCCAGGTCTGACAAACCCAACCCACGAAGGAATCCGGGTCTGTCAAACTCGGCTGGAGGTTGAAGACAGCCTCCAGCCTCCAGCCTCCAAATGATGCTGTTTTGGCATCGCCCCTAAAAAAAGGGGGGGAGGGGGTGAGACGATTAGGCTGCCTTGGTCTGGATCTAGATAGGACCAGACCAGGCCCAACCTGTTTCCAAAAAAAAAAATTAAAAATTATTATAGTTAAATAAAATTTTAAAAAAATATATTTTTTGGCCAAAACTGCCACATGGTATGTTCCGCCACATGGCATACCCCTTCGACATGTGGACACCGCCACCTAAGAGGTGGTGGCATGTGGAGGTCGTCGCATGGCACGTGTTGCCGGCAGCAGGCTGCATGATGGTGCGTGGAGTTCACGTGTCAATTTCACGAGTAGGCTTCAATTTTTGTTTTCATTTTGTTGTTCTTAACTCTTCTTAGGGGCGCGTGTAGGTGCGTTAGAACTCCATTTGAGGTGCGATTTGTCTCTAAAAATCTCTAAAATCAAGATCTTCATTTTGATATATAATTTGCTAATTTTTGAGACAATTAAGGATCCTATTGTGAGTAGTTTAGTGCTTTTTCTGGTATTTTTATACGAATAAAAATTTCATAATATTCAAAATAATTTATATATTTTTTTTTAGGTGAAAATGAAGCAAGAGGCTTCTGGCAGCACTGAAAAATCAAGCATGGTTCATTAGAATACTCATACATGGATAATAGAGTCTTAGAATATGAACCTGAGGATGAGGATCCTGAGAAGGACCCTAACGAGGTTCCTCAAGAAGACCCGGAGGAGTTCATGGATTCCGGACCTGAGTCGGAAACTTTATTCCCTATTGAACCCCTCTATGTTGAACTCATTTGGTCTCTAAAGATTCACTCGATCTTCCTAATCAGACCGAAGTTGAGGAAGAAGAAGAGGTGAATCAATCCTGTACCCCTGCTTTAGCTATGAGTATAGCTGAAAGAGATGCGGCCAAACTGACAAACATAAAAGGCATCAATGGCGTGCTCGTCAGTTACATCCAATACATGATTGATAAGAAGAATACTGAATTCTACCTTAAAGTCATAATAGAATACATAAGAGTGATAAGGGTCAGAGGTGGACTTAAAGGCAAACCCATAAGGAAGTCTTACTAGATTTGGGCTATAGAATTAGTATCCTCTTTTATGACCAAAACGCGCAAATTTAGGAAATTGAAGAAAGTAATGCTTGATTACCTTCATGTTCATATCAAATGATTGATTTTTGTATTTGCTTTATTGATATTTGTTATGTTAAGTTTTTAATTTCCTGCATTATAAACAGACTAAGAGTCTTATTTCATTTAATGAAATTACTTAAATTATTGTTATATGATTATCTGTGAATATATGTGTATGCCTTTTATAAGCAGGAGCTCTTAGAAGATAAGACTTCTACGAGTTATTTTTTTTTTTTTGAAGTGCTTATATAGAATTCTTGATAGAACATAGTGATTATTACATGTATCTGTGTGATGGGAGGTACAAATGTACGCTCTTGATCATGGATCTTGCAGTGTCATTACTTTCTTATCAAGGATGATATAAGTACATGATATTGTATACTTTGCTGTGCTATATATAACTGAAATGTTATATGGTATGTCTCTCTTTTAGAAAGAACGTAGAATAATATGGGATAAATTTGTCACAGAACTGAAAATGGCAACTAAGAACATTATTGCTGAGCTTAATAAATGGAAAAAGCTTAACGAGGATAACTGGGACATATGGCACTGAAAGGTCCAATACATCTTGGAGGAACAAGATGCTGTTGAACCTTTAACCACTGCAATGGTTGAACCTGAAACTAGGAATACGGCCCAACATAAGAGAGGCCAAGAGGCTTACCAAATTTGGAAGAAGAAAAACAGCATAGCAAGACGTCGCTAAGAGAGGTGCTCCCCGTTTAGTATCTGTCTCGAATAGAATTGCCTCTAATAGAAGGATATTTATACTTTAGTAAAAAACAGAAAAAGAAGGGGGATACACAAAGATCTCATTTAGTACAAAATATTGAGCATAAAAAGTAAGAATTAAAATTGTGATAGGAAAAAAAATTAATACCATGAAGGTTTGTCCAGCCTCAACTAGCAAGTAATTCCACATATTAAGTATTTTTTTAAGTTGTTTTTTCAATCTCAATTCCAATCATTATTTGTAATTCTCAACGCTAAATACCAAACAGGGTCAAAGGATCACACGTGACTGTCACTATTTAATGATATAGCATGACAAATAACACGCAATTAAATTATATTCAAGATTTAACAAATGGCCATGGTTTGCTCGTAAGATAGAAATAGGATAGAAACATGCTAAGTTTTAGCTGAATATGTACGAGTTTGCAATAAAAATGTGTCCTATGGGATTTGAAGACAACTCCAATTTCTCACGCTTCACCTTCACTTTACTTCATTTGGTAAAATGGTGAGGTTGCGTCATTTCATCTCCTCAATATTCATCCTCTTCTATCTCTCCTCATCCACCTTCTATCGTGGGTTTATCTCCCTTTTCCCAATATAAAATATCCCCTTATTATTATTTATTCATATACTATTATCTTTTTATCTTTTCTTATTTTTTATATCTCAACTAAATACTACTTCGAGATTTTATAATTAGGATCGAAGGTAGTATATTTTTAATGCATTATATAAAATTGGAGCTAAACTACATAGTTTTTAACTAATAATATAATGATTTATTAAAGATTTTGTGTCACATATTTATGAATGATACTACTATTATCTGCTTTAGAGTTTTCCTATTTTGAATTTTTTTATTTTATTGGGCCGTTTTCTTATTCAATAATTTAATGTAATTAATATAATTTATTTTCTGTGAAAATTGAATTGTAATTAATCTAGACTAATTTTAATGATCACCAAATTGGACAAATTGAACTAGAATTTTTTAATTAATTTCTTTTTCCTTCTACTTAACAATGCGATGTAGACCATGGGAGAAAGGAGAAGAGAAGAGAGAAGGGAGCGAAGAGAGGGGGAGAGGGAGAAGTAAGGAGAGACAACAGGAGGTTAGAAAATATCAATTTTTATTCAATTATCAAAGCTGAGTACTTTTGATAACCCTAACTCTGTTAATAGAGCTCTAAAATATTAAAATAATAAAAAATTATAAATTAAATCTCAATCATAATTATAATTAAAGATAATAAAGGTAATTGCAAAATATTAAAAAGATTAAATCCTAATTCTAATTGATACACATCTTTATTCAAATTCATCATGGATAATCTACATATCTAATTAAATTCTAATTATTTTATATCCTATATTTCACCACAATGTCGAGAAAGAGATTTTAAACATAATTAAAAATCTCTGTATAATATTACAAAAACAGGAGCAAAAAGACAGAAATACAAATGGTGGAAGAAAGGAAACATAAACTTTAACGATACTACGCATTATGCAGAATTTTTACCCAATGGTAAGTCTAACTCCAAAAACTTTCTGTCATCATCATGAATTATATGCGGTTCATTTAATAGATCCCACATGTACAAACCTTTTTTAAATAAAATACTACCTCCGGTTCTTAATATAAGATTTTATTTGACTTTTATTTTGGTCCTAAATATAAGATCTCAACCCACTTTGTCTCTCATATCTATGCATTTTTTTCAAGGTAGTCCTTTTAATAATGATAGTTCTAGTCAATACATTTGATTAGCAAAAATATTTTAGAAAAGACAACACTCATTTATTACAAATAACTAATTTAACTTCTTTTCTTAATCTCTTCAAATTAGTCAACTGGCTCTTATAATTAGGACCAGAGACAGTATGTTATAAAGGGGTAAGTTAATAGTTTAGAAGTGAGCAAGGTCAAATGTGTGACTTTCCAAAAATGAAAGCTTGAGTCACCTTATTTTAAACTTGGTAGAAAGATATAGGGGAGCAGAACAATTCATTATATAAGTAAGAAGTTCATTTCTATTCTAATCTTTTCTTTTTTTTTTTTGCCATCCATTTATGTTCTAATCATTTCATCCATATAATCTCTAAAAACCAGAAAACGAATAGATATCATAGAAAGTTTAGTATAGATAAACAAAGAAAATTACTTCTGTCATTAATTTGTTAATTTCACATAAAGTGAATTAGTTAAAGAATTGAAAACACAAAAAATCTCCTTGTAATTGGATCTAGGTTAGGCTACTATAATATATTTAGCTTAATTTTAGTTTCTTTAAATAACCTCATAACAAGACTTTTTCAAGTGGTGTTGTTTTTCAAATAAGTTCATTGTAAATTATACGACAAAATTCTTTCCTTTGTATCGAAAATTTTTTTTACAACAAAATGATCAAATAATTGAATAAATACAAGAAAAGACTTATGATTTTTAGACTTTAAAACTTTTTTTAAGCCACATTATCTTTTATAAAACAGTTTTTAAAAGCTTATTTCTTGCATAAAAATTACTTCCTTGCACTTAATGTGTCAAGCATTAACTCCTTATTTCTAAAGTGTTAATGAGCTTCTTTGATGAATTTACCTTTGAACTTTGCATTGCGCTTAGCGAGTTAACTGTTCTCCTTAACGTGTGAAGTTCAGTTTAAGTATACCAATTAATTATCCTATGAAAATTTTCTAATGCATGAACCTCTTTCCTTAACGTGTTGATGATCTTTAATTTGTTTTGATCAATTTCACATTTTTTTAAACTTACCGTGTTAACCTCCACACTTAATGCGGGAGGAGGCATAACAATAACATCCCAAATTTTATTTTTAGAATTTAAGTAATATTATGATGGGATTTACTAAGTAACTTGAGGTTTAAAGTGAATGAAATGCATTTTCATGGTCTACAAACATATAGAATTTAGAAGACAATGGAATGAGGTTGAAAAATTTAAGGTGAAAATTCTAAATAAAATTAATAGGTCCTGATTATATTTATTAAATATTTGAATTTAATGAGGTTTTTCATGGAAATTGTATTAATTACTTGAACAAAAAGAATTTACCCAAAAATGGGTTAAATTTCAAGGATATAATTTTAAACCAGAATTTTTAGAAAAAGGGGGAATAATGAGGTTACATGGGGTTATAATAAAAACAAGTAAATTATATTTTCATGTAAGAGATTATAATTATCTAAATAATATAAAAATTATATTTGAGTAAAATACACAAGTAGAGCTCAAATTTTAGGATTTTAAGGACATCTGGACCAATTATAGAAAATTATAAAAGAGAAAGTAAAACCCATGAGATATGAGAGTGTAAATCATTTTGTGTGTAAAAATGA